GGGACAGGGATGGACAGGGAGGGACAGACAGATGGAGTGGGACAAGGATGGACAGACAGAGTGGGACAGGGACAGACAGATGGAGTGGGACAAGGATGGACAGACAGAGTGGGACAGGGACAGACAGATGGAGTGGGACAGGGATGGACAAGGCGGGACAGGGATGGACAGGGAGCAAGAGGGGCTGATGGATGGGGATGTGGGGACAGACAGGGTGGGACAGGGACAGACAGACGGGGTGGGACAGGGACAGACAGGGCGGGATGGGGATGGACAGGGACAATGGGGACAGAGGGGGTGGGATAAGGACAGACAGACAGCGTGGGACAAGGACACAGGGGGACAATGGGGACAGACAGGATGGGACAGGGATGGAGAGGGGTCCCTGGGTGGGGACAGTGGGGACAGGGAGGGATGGGGACCCATGGGTGGGGTTGGTGGGGACAGACATGGTGTGATGGGACCGGTGGACAGGGAGCGATGGGGACAGACAGACACACAGACAGGGGGACAGACGGACAGGCAGTGATGGGGACAGGCCAGTGGGTTGGTCAGACTGGGACCAACTGGGACAGGCAGGGTGTGGCAGGGACGGACAAGGGGCCATGGGGACAAATGGACACCTGCACTGGGAGCAGACTGGGAGTACTGGGAATAGACTGGGAGCAGTGGGGACAGGGATGCCTGGACTGGGAGCACTGGGGACAGAATCACACTGGACTGGGAGCACTGGGGACAAGGACACCCATACTGGGAGCACTGGGGACAGACTGGGAGCACTGGGGACAAGGACACCCATACTGGGAGCTCTGGGAACAGACTGGGAGCAATGGGGACAGGGATGCGTGGACTGGGAGCACTGGAAACAAACTGGAAGCACTGGGGACAGAATCACACTGGACTGGGAGCACTGGGAACAAGGACACGCATACTGGGAGCACTGTGGACAGACTAGGATACGTGAGGACAGAAGGACACTCATACTGGAAGCTCTGGGGACAGACTGGGAGCACTGGGACAGTGACACCCAGGCTGGGAGCACTGGGGACAGACTGGGAGCACAGGGGGCAGAAGAACTCCCATACTGGGAGCACTGGTGTCAGACTGGGAACACTAGGACAGGAACACCCATACTAGGAGCACTGGGGACAGGCTGGGAGCACTGGGGACAGACTGGGAGCACAGGGGGCAGAAGAACTCCCATACTGGGAGCACTGGTGTCAGACTGGGAACACTAGGACAGGAACACCCATACTAGGAGCACTGGGGACAGGCTGGGAGCACTGGGGACAGAGGGACTCCCATACTGGGAGCACTGGGGTCAGACTAGGGCAGGGACACCCATACTGGGAGCACTGGTGTCAGACTGGGAACACTAGGACAGGAACACCCATACTAGGAGCACTGGGGACAGGCTGGGAGCACTGGGGACAGAGGGACTCCCATACTGGGAGCACTGGTGTCAGACTGGGAGCACTGGGGACAGAGAGACACCCATACCGGGAGCTCTGGGAACAGACTGGGATCACTGGGGACAGAAGCGCACCCAGACTGGGAGCACTGGGATTGCACTGGGGCCCCCCTGTGGTGCTGGGGCTGGCGGGGGTCCCAGTCCCGGTATCGGGGGGTCCCGGGGGCACCGGGGGGGTCCCAGTCCCGGTGCTGGTGCCCGTGGGGGGGTCCCGGTGCCGGTGGTCCCGGTAGGGGGGTCCTGGTGCTGGTGCCAGTATGGGGGTCCCAGTCCTGTTGCTGGTGCCAGTAGGGGGGTCCCGGTGGCGGTAGGGGGGTCCTGATGCCGGTGCCGGTACGGGGGTCCTGGGGCCGGCTGGCCCCGGGCCGGTGCAGGGGGCGGGGGGCCGGGGGC